TAAACGTATCGTACCAAAACAAAAAGTAACTCCGGATCAAGTAGAGCACGTCAACTCTTGCTGGTCAAGAATCCTAAGAAGGGGGACCGTCAACTTGCCTACCTGCACCTGCGGGCATGAAATGCAGGCCCCGTGAAATAGAGCGTCAGTACGAAAAATGTGCTAAGTATGTAAGGCATGAAAATAAGTAAATAAAAGACATAGATGAAACATGGAATACAAAAATACCTTTTAATCTGAATAACTCTGTAAATTTTGAAACGTTTATAATATCATGCACATGCGTATAAATGTCGTGCCATGCATAGGTATGGGTGTACATAATATCATCAAGCCACTGAGGGCATCCCATCATATCGTCTCGGCCACTATGGGCAACACATCAACATATACCAGCTGATCAGGTGGTGGTGCGTATATAACGCCATAACCTCTTCCCATATCATATATACATATACATACATATATACGCATATATAACGCCGTTTGAATCATATTTCACCCATTGTGGGCAACATCATTATCACATACCAGCTGATTAGGTGGTGGTGCGTATATAATACCGTAACCTTTTTCAATATCTCATATACATATATTTACATATATACGCATATATAATGCCATCTGGTCATGAGTCAATGCACATCAATGCACATGTATAAATGAGTGAAATGCATGCAAAATACATAATGATCTCGATATTCCTTCCAGATAAACTTTTCTAACTGCTAATATTTTCATAGGGAATAATTCTCATAGGGAATCAAGAATATAGACACTCCTAATATTTTTATGAATAGAGTAATTTATAGAAAACTCTGTATTTGCTCGTTTCTTCAGTATAATTTGGACCATGCCAAAAGAAAGAAGAGAGGACCTTAACATATCTGGATTAGGAATAACTCCATATAATTATCCCGTTGGAAACCTTCGTGGATTGAACTTAGATCCAAAAATTGAATTTAAGAATCGACGTTTGGCTTAAATGCCAACGTAACGAATTGATACAATTTTGGAGTGAGGCTTGGACGCTTGGTGAGCATGAAAATGCTTCTGCTTTTCACTTAACAGAATGTAAAATGGTTATGTTTATCCTAAGTGACATGTTTTGATCTCTCTTTTTGATTCATAAAGCTTAAAACAAAGTCTTGATAAGACTTTGAAATTAAGCTTTTGACACATGTAAAGCTTCGATAAATGACTCACCTTATGCTAAATGGGGGATGCCACGTTCCTCCTTGGGGTGATTTTAATTTATCCACTTATTAGTTAATCAGGTAATGTTTCGTTACCCGATAATTAATTTATTACCCGCATAATTTAAAAATTATCACAAATTACTTAAAATTCTATTTATTTTCAAAATACTTCATATGTATTTTATATATTACACTACAGTAATCATATGGTACCTTGCATGGTACTAATTTATAATTATCTGATATTATCGCTCGACCCGTATTTTATTCCAAATTGGTCATTCCCAATGAAACCCGTTTTCGTTAATCCGTGTATCCCTTTATCCTTCATAACACTTATTCATCGCTTGTTATAAATAGCGTAAGTAACGTCAAGATGATCTCATCCCCGAGTCTATGTCGGTTAACTTGAAAACGAAATTTTACATACGAAATGCGAGATGTAACAAAAAATCTCATAAACTTTCTATATTATATTTGTGTATAATTTAAAGCATATTCGAAAGTAGTAATATTTATAACTATTTAAAATCATATTTTTCAAACTATTTTTTTCTTTACAAAAATGTTCACTCAAAATACCATATCAAATATATATATATATATATATAACGGTATCAAAGTTGTTAAACTTACAGGGTATAATATTAATATCATGAAATAAACTTTATCAACTTATGTATTTTCTGAGTCCCATGAACAAATGATATAATATTAGGACACATGGAGAATTAGGAACATAGGCACACCTAGTACTTCTAAGAATAGATTAATTTATGAAAGTTGCGTGTTTTCTCGTTTCGTTTGTATTATATGGGATCATGCCAAGAGGAAAGAAGGGATAGCTTTAACATACCTTTGTAGTTTACTTAACCACACGATGTCGGTTCAGCCTGTTAGTATTTCAATCTACAATAAACCATAAGGGACCATTGTTAAGCTTACGGAAGCAAGAACTCAACACAAATGAGCGACTAGCCTGTCTACGAAATGTTGGACAACACTTCCCCTTATTCTTTTCAGTTTTCTCAAATCAAATAACAAGACTATAATTTCCAGAATGTCAACAAACATATATATCAATATCTAACCTCATATTCATTATAATACATCACCAAAACATTCCACGCCATCTCACCCAACAACCAAGTTCTAATTTGCACTTTTCCAAGCCTTCTCTTCTTCCAAACACATCAACAACAATAGCAATAGTATTCTTAAGTTATTTCTACTGATTTTCAGCCATAAAACATCAAGAATTCAACTCCAAAATAGTCCAACAACTATAATACTTCAATATGAAGTTCAATCTACTTCACAAGTTTTCTTTATCTAATCAACTAGATATATATAGATGATCTTAAATGCATATAGGAGAAGTTAAACCTTACCTTGACAGCAAGAATACTTGTCCAACTAAGTTTTACTTCAAACTCAAATAACATCTTTACCCCAAACAATAAAGTAGAGAAATAACTAGGTGATCTTTATCTTCCAAGAGAGAAATTACCATACTGACTTGTGGATTTTGTCTTGAGCCCTAGGGTAACTTTGAGAGAGGTTTTGGGATGATATTTTGGAGCTTCTTTACATTGTAATGGAGAGAGATATTATGAATTATTATCTAAGTGAAATAGATATATATCCATGTATATATGGCCCACTAATGAGCTTGGGCAGATAGGTCTTGGGCAACCCCAAAACATGCCCGTCTCTATCCTTTCCCTTTCCCTTTTAATTTGGGCCATACATTCTAAGTAGGTGATGCAACTAATGTGGGCTTTTTTTTCCATTCTAAAATATGTGTCTCATCCTCGTTACATAATTTAGACATGTGTCGAATAGCTCAAGCAAGTAGGACGAATAGTAGTTTGGTGAAGCAGGCACGTGGGGTAAGCAAGCAGCTCATTTATTTGTCCAAAATCTCCTTTCTCACGTTTAAATGCATTCGTCCTTAACCTAGTCATTTGTATCTTGAACAAAAATACGGGATGTAATATCATTAGATTAATTTACATACTTTTAAAGATGATCTCATTTTTGAGATTACATCAATTGACTTACGACGCACTTTTGCTTACAAAAATATGGGGTCTAACAAAGGATATGTAGGATAATCTAGATAATCACTAGGCTCAGGTGAACAAGGAATGACACGATCTACACATGAACAAGGTTGTGTTGGGACTGAAGTGATAGGCTCTCTAGTATGCCTTTGAATTACAACAAAGAACAAATTATCAACCGTATATAAATGCACCTTATTGCCTGTCACACCCCTTTTTACCCCTCCAAGAGATAAGTGTAAAATGTTATAGATTGTGGGTTAAAGAGCTTTTCCAATTAAAGTGACAAATTTGAAGTAGGGATTATTTTATCTACAGAGTCGCCACTTGGAATTGATTTCTACTGGTGTTCCAAGTCACCTTTTATTTGAATCCCTATTCAAAGGAAGGTTTGACTCTATTATTATTGGTCTGCGAAAACAAAGTCCGGGTAAGGAATTCTGTTGACCGGGGAGAAGGTGTAAGGCATTCCCTGAGTCCCGTGGTTCTAGCACGGTCGCTTTATTGACTACATTTGGCTTGAATTAAACTTGGATAAACTGTGGTTTATTTGATTTTTATGCTTTTCTTATGTCCGTTTTTATTTATCTTTTAAAAAAAATTAAAGAAAAGATTTGAATAATAATCTACAACTTAACTAATGAGAAAAAATTATTGTTATGAGTACTAATTTAAAAGATGAGAGTAATGAGAGAAAATTATCAATTGACATTGCTTAAAACTAGTAAGATGTGGGCTTGTCTTGACATTGAATGAGGCAGCCCACTGTTGGGTTGATGAAGTCAAATGGGCTCATGTCCAAGACAAAATCTAAAAGCCCATATGCTTTTGGACTTTAAATTTGCAGATATAGCCTTTTAAAGCTATGTTACAGATTTAGCCATATCTTGCTATTTGCAATCCGTAACCAACTATTTACAAAAATAAATTTACAGATTGTCTTTCTAATCTACAACTTAACTACCTTACTAAATAAGTATTTTTTAAGAGATAAAAAAAAAGATTATTGGGACTCTAAAATATAATAATAATAATAATAATAATAATAATAATAATAATAATAATAATAATAATAATAATAATAATAATAATAATAATAGAAACTTAGCTTTGTGACAACAAAGGGACAAACATGGCTACAAGGGTTCAAATTTTAATATATATGCTCCTTTCAGACAACCAAATTCCTATGAAATTATATCTAATGCTTTGCAAAAATAAAAATAATTAAAGATGCTTAACACAATTTAATTAACTAACATATCGTTATAACATTATCAAACATTCAAGAGCATATAAAAATGAATTACAATAGAACGATAAAACTACTAATATTTTCCAGCTTCATTATCTTTCATTCCAACTTGATTTTATTAGTTTACAAGGTCCGAAAATTACCTGGACAACAGAAAGAAGAACAAATACAGCAGAGTCAGCTCTTTCCAAACAGCAAAACAATTAAACGGGCAGCAACAACAACAAAAGACAGCGACAACCGGCAGATTCAAACCCAAGAAAATAAACTAGAAATACCCCAGCAAAACAGTACAATTATGTAACTCTAGAAAAATCTTTCAAGACTACTCTATTTTCCTTAAACAAGTTTTTCACTTAAGAATCAACTCACAAAAGCTGCTAAGGGATATTATAGCTACTGATATTTTCTCTTTTTTGTGTGTCTAGAGCTCTCTCAGTAAGATGGAGTGTCCTCCTATATATCAAAACAATCAGCTATTTCAAAAAAATTAAAAAATCAATCTTTTTGACATATTTTTCTACAAAATCTGCTCTTAAATTCAAAATGCCAGACTTTCTGGTTCAAATCTTGTGAAGTATTTCAAATAAAATCTGCTCTCCACTATTCAAAGACAGACTTTTATTCAAACACTGTCCAAAGGTTTACATTTTCTTACCAAAAAATTTGACTTTCGAGTGTTGTACTTAAAGAGTCTTGAAGCAGTAAATAAAAAACCAAACAAGTACCATATACTCTTAAGTATTTTTCACTACCTCACTTTTATCAACACAAAACTATTTTACTACTTCAACAAGTGCAAAAAACAGAAAATTTAACATTTCAAACTTCAAATACTATAATTAATAATAGACAAAAATAAAATCTGAAAAAATAAAAATAAAATAGAAAAAACAGTCACAAAAGAATAGGATTTTTTCCATTTTATAATTCAAGTGGCCGAAAAAATGGTGGTATGCTCAAAGAGGGTGTTTGGGGAGGTCGCCGGAATTTGGCCGGATTTTTGTCGCCGGATTTTCAGGGTAAAATTGGCATCAATAGCTAGGTCTTGGGGAGCTCTATCCATTGATGTAGGTATTGTGGTGCGGTAGTGGTTGTAGTTTCAAGAATTTGGGCAAAAAAGTGACGGAAAAGTTTCCTAGATCTAAGATTCAAGGAGTTTGAAGGATTTGGTTTGGAGATATGGAAAGAGGAAGTTGTGGAGATTACATGGTGTGAATTNCTGCCCCTCTTTGCTCGAGAACATGAAGAGTTTTCGTGCAAAGAAAAGTGAATGCCATAGCTAATTTTTGCTCACATGTCACTCCAATGGAAGCAATTTTTTTTTTTTGAAAAAAAAGGTGACCGAACCTTGCCTCCGAGGCTGCCTACATATCCTTGGCTATAAAGGAATCAAGTCAGTGTAGTTCTGGAAAAATTTGGTAGCTGGGACTACCGGACACTAGAGTTAAGACTGTTGCTGTTGCTATTGCTGTTACTCGCTTCTTACTTCAAAAAAGAAAAAGAGAAGAGTACTATATATGTCTGCAAACTAAGAGTACAAAATTCCTATCTATGCATCTTCTGGAGTCAAATCTTGATTCTTGACCTGCTCACTTGCGTTGACCTTAGATTGGATTTTGATACTCTTTGAAGAAATGATTATGACTCAATTTCAGTTGCTTTCTTTCCTGATCTGAAATTGAGAAGATGAATCTTGAGAAGCTGGGTTACTGACACATTGTCAAAGTTAACTCCTACTATCCTGTGATCGAAAAACTTCTTCCTTCTGATGAGAAATTGAAACTGCAAGCTTTAATCTTCACTTGTGCTATACGGCCGAGCCTGCAAAACCATCAAAAACGAACAAAAAAAAATTTTCTGCCCCAGTCTGGCACTAGAAAAATATTGTGAGTTATTAGAGAAATCTGTAAATTGTCTAATTTATTGAAAAGGCAGACAGAAATAGTGGTATAAACTAGCTAAAAGAGATAAAGTTTGGTAACGAATGATTGTGTAACCAGGGATCGGTATCCCGTACTACTGAAAGAAAATGTAATCAGGGGCTGGTACCTTTTCTTACTAGAAGGAAATAGAATCGAGTGTTAGCACCAAGTATTATTGATAAAGTGGTGAATCCTTTTAGGTGAAAAAAGGTTCGATCTGAGTTAAACTGTATTAAACAACCTAAGCGAAGATTACTTCTACCCGGAACTACGAACTGGATCCCCCTAGGTGAAACGGTTCTACCTGGGTTAAGCTACGTAAAACACCCTGAGCGAAGAGTACTTCTACCCGGAAACTAGGAGCTGGATCCCCTAGGCGAAACGGTTCTACCTGAGTTAAGCTACGTAAAACACCCTGAGCGAAGAGTAATTCTACCGAAAACTATGAGCTGGATCCCTCTAGGCAAAACGGTTCTACCTGGGTTAAGCTACGTAAAAGCAACCTGAGCGAAGAGTACTTCTACCCAGAACTATGAGCTGGATCCCCAAGGTGAAAATGTTCTACCTGGGTTAAACTAATATAAAACAACCTGAGTGAAGAGTACTTCTACCCGGAACTATGAGCTTGATCCCCCTAGGCGAAAAGGTTCTACCTAGGTTAAGCTGCATAAAATAACCTGAGCGAAGAGTACTTCTACCTGGAACTATGAGCTGGATCCCCCTAGGCAAAACGATTCTACCTGGGTTAAGCTACATAAAACACCCTGAGCGAAAAGTACTTCTACCCGGAAACTATGAGCTGGATTCCCCTAGGCGAAAAGGGTCTACTTGGGTTAAGCTAATGTAAAACAACTTGAGCGAAGAGTACTTCTACCCGGAAACTATGAGCTGGATCCCCCTAGGCGAAATAGTTCTACCTGAGTTAAGATGCGCAAAACAACCTGACCGAAGAGTACTTCTACCCGGAAACTATGAGCTGGATCCCCCTAGGCGAAATAGTTCTACCTGAGTTAAGATGCGCAAAACAACCTGACCGAAGAGTACTTCTACCCGAAACTATGAGCTTGATCCCCCTAGGCGAATCGGTTCTACCTGAGTTAAGCTGCGTAAAATAGCCTGAGCGAAGAGTACTTCTACCCGGAATTATGAGCTGGATCCCCCTAGGCGAAAAGGTTCTACCTGGGTTAAGCTACGTAAAACACCCTGAGCGAAGAGTACTTCTACCCGGAAACTATGAGCTGGATCCCCCTAGGCAAAATGGTTCTACCTGGGTTAAGTTGCGTAATACACCCTGAGCGAAGAGTACTTCTACCCGGAACTATAAGCTGGATCCCCCTAGGCGAAA